TCTCTCTCTCTCTGTGTGTGTGTGTGTGTGTGTGTGTGTGTGTGTGTGTGTGTGTGTGTGTGTGTCCTGTCAACAGCTCACTCCACATTCTTTCAGAAGCAGCGAGCAGGGCTGTTACTGGTAGTTATAGCGCATTTCTATGCTGGATTTGTTCATAGACTCCTGTTCTCATTGCCATAGACCTTCATTCGTTTCACAACTGGCTTTCCTTTGTGTTTTTCTTTTCTTTTCATAAATGGACAAAAGTGATGCAAAGGCTTCCTGAGAATCCTAACTTAATTTGAGTGAAATAGCCTAACTGACGCCTTAATAGATTGGCAGGCAAACCATATGCGCATGTTTCCTCTTGAATTCGTGGCACTATTGAAATCTACCCAAACCAAAACGAGCGGCCCATTTCCGCTTAAGAAAGGTGCCTCAAAACGAGGCGCTTTAGATTAGAAAAGGGAAAAAGAAAAGGAAAGAAAAAGAAAGAAAGGCGCCATAGCCTCACCCATTTTGTCTCTTTCCTTTTCTTTTCTGCACAAGAAGGCAGCCTTGCTGCCATCTTCTCAGTCTGCTTGACCCTCCACGTGAGGAGGCAACATGAAAAGCGGAAATCGGCCACTTTTTCTTGTTTGGGTGGACTTCCGAGTTCAAGAGGAAACATACACGTATGTTTCAGTTCCTCGTAAAGGTGATGCACATACGGTTCAGTTTCATCCATCGTGGTTTGCCACCGTCTTCCTTTGTCCACATACGCTTTCAATAAGTAGTGTGCAGTGATCTTGGGTCAAGGCAGATTATAGCTTGGTATATAAGCAGAAGCCTACACTGGCTGTCAGGGTCTCAGCCTTCTCATGTGGCAGCCAAGGTACATCATATCATTCTGTCACCATTTTTTTCTCTTGAAATTCAAATTTCAGTACGGGCCGTGAACCTCATAATTACCAGGAAATATGACTGGAAGCATGTTCAGCTTAGCTTACAACGATGGCTCTTTGTGGCCCATGGTCTAGTCCAAGCCGCAGCTCGATGTCTGGTGGTTTCTAGCTTAACAAACTACTACTCTACTACCCGTCTCCGATTTCTAGCTCGATAGTCCTAACCTTATTTCTACCATCGATGGCCTCTGATTTCGCCTGTCCCTAAGATGAGATAGTTGAACTTACTGCAGTTCTGAGAGAGACTGTATCGAAGAGTGTGGCTTAATAACCCCTATTATAATTGGACCCTACATTCCGTTCAGTGGAATCTATGTTCTTTGGTTTCTTTGAACAAAACCACTTGTTCTTGGCACCCATCCCGGCCAGCTGCTGCCTTCTTACTGCGGAAACAATGGACCAAGCGTCGAGGTCCTGAGTAAGTGGTTAATAACCACTTTGTAAACACGAACTTTGAACCTTTGACCGCTGAGTTTGTTTCTTGCGGACCGCTGAGTTTGTTCCTGGCGCTGGTGTTATGGAACTACTGCGGACCGCTGAGTTTGTTTCTTGTTTTGGTCGTCTTCCTGGGACGACCGCTCTTCATGGCCACGATGATATTGTGCTTGATTTTTAGCTTTAGGGCCAGGTTCGACCAAGAATATCCTTTGAATACCAGGCTGTTTCTTTCTTCATAAATAATGCAAGGTACTGTTCTGATGACGAGAGCCACGTACTTCGGAAGACTATTGATTGAACAAACACAGCATCGAAGAGAATCCCATTCCGAAAAGTTTATCGGCGGATTTTGGCTGTTGTACTCAGCAAGCGCAGTACAGCCCCCAAGTCTGATTGAAAACCCTTTAGAGGTTTGTCTTTCGTCAAATAATTGCGCTAGTACTTCAATCAGTAGGGTTATTGATGCGTCCTTTGTTAACGAGTTGGTGGTGATTAATCTTACCCTCATTCCTAAGAAGAGAAGGGTTTTAGGGTCCTCCATTAATTAACCCTCCCTAAGGTTTCACCGAACAGTGTACTTATATTTCTTCTGTTTTTTATTTGGGTACTTGGTCATTTTTAGGGTCCTCCATAAACCAAACCTCCCTAAGGCTTCGCCGAAGATTATACTTATTTTTCTTCTTTTTCTTTTCTTCGGGTACTTCGTCGTTTTTAGGGCCCTCAAATAATTAACCCTCACTAAGGAATCGCAGAACATTACACTTAATTTTATTTTGTTTTTCATCGCATACTCAACATTTTTTTGGTCCTCCATTGACCAAACCTCCTTAAGGCTTCGTCGAATATTACGTTTATTTTTTTGTTTTTTGTCTTCGAGTACTCAGTCATTTCTTAGGTCCTCCACTCACGAACCTTCTCTAACGCTACACCAAAGATCGCACTTATTTTTCTTTTCTATTGTTTTGAGGTACTTAGCTAGGCTACCAGCCAGGCCGCCCGGGTCCCGGGTGGCCAGCCCGTGCAAGGATGAGGTAAGGTCCCAGCAAAAAAAAAGAAAAAAAAGAAAAATGAAAAAAAACTATGTTATGCAGAAAAATAAGCTGAACAACTTTTGCCTTAGGGTTACATCGAAATTCTTCACCAAATTTAAATTAAAAAATAAATTCCAAAAAAAAAATATATGCCCGGCCGGGAAAGTGACCCCGGGCCACTCTGGTGGCCTGGTACTTCGTCATTTTTATGGTTGTCCACCCACTAACCCTTCCTAAAGCTCCGGTGGTTCTTTTTTAGCATTTCCACTCAATAACCCTGTCCAAGGCTTCAGCGAAGATTACAATTTTTTTCTTTTTTTTGTTCTTCGAGTATTTAAACCACTAGTACTTCCGCGAGTGTTGGGAATTTATGGGTTTTTGCCAGTTCCCAAAGAAATGGGGGGTAGGACACAAGGTTGGCAATGTCCCATAAATTTGAGATTTATAATGTTCGGGGGTGAAAGGGAAAGGGAAAAAAAGAGAGTTTTCTCTCTTGCAAGGAGGTTGTACTCAGTTTTTCTACACAAAATGCATCTTACGGGTAAGGCGGCCATATTTTGAATGGTTTTTTTTTTTTTTTTTTTTTTTTTTTTTACGTGTTTCTTATGAGTCCTTTGCCAACAAGGCAAGGAGAAATCCGTGTTTTTCTCAAACTGTTTGTGATTTTCTTTTCGTCAGAGAATTGTAACTCTCATCACACTGACACTTTGGGAAATGTATCCAGCCATTTTCATGGTCGGATCCGTGTGCTCGTTTTTGTTTCCCTTCTATTTTTTTTTTTGAATCGCACAACTTGGCCACGGGGTTGAGATGCCCTAATTGAGGGCGCACTCACACTAACACTTCTAAGAATGTATACAACTGCCCTAATTGAGGCCACGGGGTTAGTTTTTGGTCTTTTTTTTGTTCTTTTCGTAAGAGTACCATAAAGGAGTGGTACCCAGGCTCGGCAAACTCGGAACGCATTGAAATTCGGGGTCGGCAAAAACAGGCTCGGAGGTAAGAGTGATTGAATCATTTATATGGTCCTCCATTCACTAACTCTCCTTAAGCCTTCGACAAATATTATACTTTTTTCTAGGCTACCAGCCGGGCCGCCCGGGTCCCGGGTGGCCAGCCCGTGCAAGGACCAGCGAAGGACAACTTTTTGCCTCAGGGCCACATCGAAATTCTTCATCGCATTTTAAATACAAAATAAAACTTAATTTTTTTTTATTTTATTTTTTTTTCTGGCCTGGTCGGGCAAGTGACCCCGGGCCACTCTGGTAACCTAGACTTTTTTTCTTTTTTCTTCTTCGAGCAACCTTCCTGAGGTCTTCGTCGAAGATTACACTTATTTGTCTTATTTTTTTTAAGTATTTAATTTGTTTTTTTGTCTTGCATATTCCAAACCACCTTAAGGTTTCACCGAATATCACAATTTTTTTTTATTTTTTTTTTTGAGCACTAAATTATTTTTTGGTTCCCCATTCGCTGAACATCTCTAAGGCTTCATCGAAGATTGCACTTTTTTTCCGGGTAGTTAATCATTTTCAGGGTCCGCTATTCACCAACCCTCCCTAAGGGTTCGTAGAAGATTACATTTATTATTTTGTTTGTTCGGGTAGTTAGTCACTTTGTTTATTTCCCACTAATCAATTTTCCCTAAGGCTGCGTCGAAGATGATACTTTTTTTTTTCCCCCAGGTATTTAGTTTGTTTAGGGGGTCTTCCATTCATTAACTCTCCTTATAACTTTATCGAAGATTATAATTTTTTTTAATTTTTTTTTTAACGTAGTTAGTCATTCTTATGGTTCTTTTCTAACTACCTTAAAAAAAAAATTGCAGTTAGTCATTTTTAAGGTTTCGTTGAAGATTATAGTTAGGGTTTTTCCAAACTGCAATCTAGATGAAGATCTCATGTATAATTTGTTGTAGTTTGCGGTTAGGTTTCGCTGAAGATTGTAATTCAGTTCCATTGAAAATTGCAGTTATGGTTTCACCAAAGACTGATCGCGCTTAAGGATCGTTGTTAAGATTCACCGAAGATTGCAGTTACGGTTATGCCGAAAATTGTTATTACAGTTCTGCGGAAAATTGCAGTTACGATTAATCTAATTGTAATCTCGGTTAAGATTATGGTTATGGTTAGGTTTCGGGGAAGAGTACAGTTAGGGTAGGTCGAAAATTGCAGCATTAGGTTTGCGGTAGATTGTGATTTTGTTTTATCGAACACTGCAATTGAGTTTTACCGAAAATTGTTGCAGCTTGGGGATGCTGAATGTTATAGTCAAGTTTTGTCTAAAATTATTATTGGGACGTTTTCCTTGAAGATTATAGGTTATACTGAATATTTACGAAACTCTTTGAGCTTGTTGAACATTATCAAATGACAATCTCAATGAAGACCGCA